AACTCATGGCAACCAGGAAGCACAGAGAAAGAAAGGAAGGGCTGGGAGGAAGACACCCTTTCCTGGTTACTTCTCAGAGACCTATGACTTCCAACTGGGCCACTCCTATGAATTTCCAATGGGTGAATCAACTGGCAAGTTTAGCAACCCCAAGATCCAATCCCCTCCCAAAAGGCCTACCTTTGAACACACGAGGGTTTGGAATCTTCTAGATCTAAACCATAACATTAACCAATAACAAAAGTAACCCGATATCCAAGAAATATACAGAGAAAAAGCAGTTTGAAGGACAAAAGCAAAAGCTAACCTAAAAATATAAAAAATATTGAAATGGCAGCTGTTAATAAGTTAAATATTTAGGTATTAAGTATTTAATACCTAATAAGTTAAATATTTAGGTATTAAGTATTAAGTATTTAATTGGTTAAAATAATAGTTAGCAAGTCTCATAAGGAAGGAAAAAGAGAATGATGAGAGAAAGTCCATGCATGTAAGAGGTTGACTGCAAAATTTTATCTCTCAATACATACCAGAATGGACACAACTATCATTTAGAAACCAACTCAAACCCATGGAATATAGCACAAAGTTAAAGGATACTGTAAGCAAAGAAGAGATAGAGTCTGTAAATTTACTTAAATCATTATCCATATATTAGGACACTGTAAGAAAAAAATGGAGTAAATGTGCTGAAAGCAGTGATTAAAGGAATGAAAGAAGATAAATGTTTGAGCTAATAGAATACATCCTCGTGTTGAAAGTGAGCTTCATCTGTTCATGTCTGAAGTATTTTGTGACCTCTAAGAATTAAGAAGGTAATCCTTTAAATATCCAGAAAGAAAGATAGGTACTGTGGAGGTTACTAACTATTAAATAAGCAAGGGTAAGGCAGAAGAAAGTAGGGAGAGTTTGATAACAATAGAAATAAAACCTAAGCTATTAGGAGGCAAAATGTGTAGATCAGAGATAGCTAAACTAGAGCTGGTTCTTCTAAAAGACCTTAAAAAGGAGAAACTTCTTGAGAGTCCAAGTAATTAAAAAGAAGGGCTGATAAAAATGGAAGGCAGCTACAACCCACATTCAAAGAACTTTATATAAAAGAATATTTTATACAACTTCATGACAATAAATATAACTCAGTAAATTAGATAACAAGGTAGGGAAACATAACACTGAATTCCAGGCAAGTGACAGAAAACAACTGGAAATACACATGTAAGCAAAGCAGAAAGTGCAAGACAGAAAAATACAAGCAATACAATAAAAAATAAATAAAACAAAATAAAAAAATATTATTTATCTGGCAAGGGATTTGTATCCAGAATATGTAAGTAACTCAAACAACTCAGCAATGAAAATCCCCATCAGGCATGATGGCATGCGCCTGTAATCCCAGCACTCAGGAGGCTGAGGTAGGAGGATCACTGAGTTCTAGGCCAGCCTGGCCTCCAAAGTGAGTTCAAATCAGTTTGAACTGCATAGTGAAACCTCATCTCAAAAAGCCAAAAAAAAAAAAAACAGCCAACCAATGAAAATCCCAAGTAACCATATTTAAAAATGGGCAAAGGACCTTGATGGACAATTCTCAAAAGAAGACATAAAATAACTAATAAGTAAATTAAAAAATCATCAATATCACTAATTCTTACAGAAATAGAGATGAAAACCACAGTAAGCCTCACCCCAATTAGAATGGTTATAATAAAGAAGACACAATGAAACAAATGCTATTGTAGATACAAAGAATGAGACACTGTTATGGCTTCTATGTAGATGTTTCCCCAATGTCTCATAGGGTCATAGGTGGGGCTTTAGGAGGTGACTGGATCATGGATGTGTGATACTGGGTTAAGGTTTTGTGGTACTGGTTTAGTCCACTGATCAATTTAGCATGGTTTTGGATGTGGATGAATGGATTTACTAAAGACAGAAGCCCCAACCTGAGTGTGGGTGGCACCAACCAATAGGCTTATAGCACATGGAATAAAAGGGAAAGAGAGGCTCCCTGCTTGTGGCTTCTTGCCTATTCTTTGATTGACTATTTTTCCTCTAGATGACTCTCTGCTGTAATGGCCTCCTCTGAAACCAGCTGACTATGAAATGAAACCTCTACAAACTGTGAGCTAATGTAAATCATTCTTCCTCTAAATTTTCTGTGTTGTGTCTGTCTTGCAATGAGAAAAGTAACTAAGACAGGAACTCTGGGATGTTGTTGTTCGAAATGTAAATTGGTACAGTCATTATGGAAAACAGTATGAAGATAACAACTTAAACAACTAAAAAGAGGACTACTGTATGGTCCAACATTTCTACAAATGAATATATACCCAAAGGAATGAGCTCAAGGCCAGCCTGAACTGTATAGCGAGACCCTGTCTCAAAAAGACAAAAAAAAAAACAAAAAAAAAAAAGAGAGACACCTGGACTCCTATGTTGATTGTCACACTATTCGCAGTAGCCTAGATGTGGGATCAACGAAGGTGTCCATCAAGAGATGGATGGATAAAGAAAACACAGCATGTGGATACAATGGAATATAGTTGTACTATAAGAATGAAATCCTGTCCTCTGAAACATGATGGACAGAACTGGAAGACTTCATATTAAAAAATTAAGCCAGGCACAGAAACACCATGTGCAAATATCACATGCTGTGATTCATTTGTAGAAAGCTAAACAATCAGTCTCTAGAAAAGGAGATCAGAATAATGGTCAATAGAGACTAGAAGTGGAGAAGAAAAAGGAATAAAAGGAAATGGAGGTGGATAATGATAGATAAAATCCAACAAAATAGAGTTAGGTAGATTAGACCCCTTAAAACAAAAAGAAACAATACACAAAATTTATATTTTGATTTACAACGGAGGCATTTATATACATTTGTGTAGTTTACTTTGTTTTAGTCTTTCCACACATTTGTAGTGATAAATATATAAATGTTTCAAGTATGGACATAAAGGTACCTAGTAAACTATGTTTGTATTTAAACTATTTAAAATGCAGGACAAATTTCCTTTGGAGAAACATGACAAGGGGCTGGAATTTAGCTCAGTGGCACAATGCCTGCCTGGCAAGCACAAGGTCGTGAGTTCGATTCCCGGTACTGGAAAAAAAACAAAACCAAAGAAAAAAAAAAAAAAAAAAAAGAAAAACATGACAAAGATGCAGTTAGATAGCAGGAATTAGTTCTGGTATTCTATTTATATCCTACTAGGATAATTATAGTCTACGACTATCTGCAACATATTGCAAAGTAAGAAGAGTCAAAGCTTCCCAGTCCCTAGAAATGATTGATGTTTGCGGACACAGAGGCTACTTACATGATTTGATTATTACAGAAAGTATATATATACTGAATTATCATTCTATACATCATAAATATGTAGAAGCATTATGTCAATAAAAAACCCCAAATGTTGAGAATTATTGATTTAATTGACTCTGGAAATGCCTTAGAAAGGTGGCAAAAGAACAACATTTAACACTCAACTTCCTCATTTATGATATAAAATTTTAAATAATTGATTTAAACTTTAAGGGTTTGGGATTTAGCTCAGTGGCACAGCGCCTGCCTGGCAAGCACAAGGTAGTGAGTTCCGATTCCTGGTACGGAGAAAAAAAAAAAAAAAAAAAAAACACTTTTTATATTTATTAAATAAAGAGAAAAGATAAGACATTTAGAAAGCATTTTAGAAACTGATAAACTGGTTTGCAAGCCCATAATATTTCTATGAGTTACTTTTAATCACAAGACAGTTCAATAACACAATTCTCCAAAATTGTACCAGAAAACACTTTATCACAAGTTATTTGTCTAAAATATAATCCTAGTTAACATTAGTGGAGTACTTCTTTCCATGTTACCTTCAATCAGAAGCATATAGTTGTGTAAGAAACAATGTGTTTATTAAGAGTCCTTACCCAAAGATAATAAATTCACTCTACTCATTTATTAGTTTAAGTGCTGCCTTCCAGAAGAGTCAGGAAACAAGGCTTGTATGCTACACAATCATGAAAGACCCAGCCATAAACACACCCAAAACATGTCCTGCAGTACTGCAGGACTGTTTTAGCCAAAATATTTTTCCATAGTTTCCTTTTCAACCACAGTGATGCTTGAGGCCCCTGTTATGGTCTAGATCTAGACTGTCATCCCAAGGCCTCCTGAGTTCGGAGCTGCAGCTTTGGAAGGTGATGCATCACGGGCACTGTGCTCATCAGTGGGTCCATCATGGTTGAGTTCAGAGGTGAATGTGCCGTGGGAGGCGGGGCTTGGTTGGAGGAGGTCACTGGAGTGTGACCTGGAAGGGTGTTATTATGGTTTAGATCTAAGCTATTCCCCAAAACTCTAAGTTTCAGAGGTGAAGTTTGGCCAGGGGGTGGTCACTTGAAGTTTTCTTGGCCCTGAAAGGTATATTCTTCATGCTGTCCCTGGCTTCTTCTCTATCTCGGTCTCTGTCTCTGTCTCTGTCTCTGTCTCTCTCTGTCTCTCTCTCTCTCTCTGCTTCTCAATCCTGCCTGATCCACATGCAGTGAGCAGCTTCCCTGCACCACTCTATTCTGCCTTGCCATTTCTACCTTGGAGCATGCCAGCAATGCATTGAATCACATGAAAATGTGAGGCAAGATAAATCCATCTCCTGTTTAGTTGAGAGTGTCAAGTAGTTCTGCTCCAGTGAGAGGAGGAGAGTGGCTAATCCAGGCCTGTACCCTAGAAAATACCAATACAGAAGAATCCACAGCATCTGTCACTCACTTTCCAAAGCTGGAGCTTTATTGCATACAGCCCATTTCTACCTTCAAGGTTTCTATGGGTGTAACTTCCTTCCAACAATTCCTATAATATACTTTTAATATCCTTCGGTAATGTTCAAACAAAAGTTCCATATATGAAAAAAGTACAGATGTTCCCTGGCTTCACATTCTACCCTAATACCCGACAACACTGCAAACACCTAGAAATTCAGCCACAAAGCAGACACTTAACTCCCCTATGACTTTCCTCATGTCTCCTCTGCCTGGTAGATCGTTTTCTCTGGTGAAATTGCCAACCATGGGCTCAGTCAGGATCCACTGATATCACCGACTCCTTGGCTGTCTCTTCAAAACAACTGTGCATCATTACCACATACCGTACACACTGCAAGCGGGTCTTCCAAGTTTGGATTTCTCTCTAGATTGTATTTTGACTATTATTCAGTATGGGTTTTCAGGACACCTAGAAGACATTCAAAAATACTGGATAAGATGAATGAATACATGAATACTATTTATGTAATCTAAGGTATCCTAAACTGCCTTATAATTTGTGTCATGTCTCAACTTTAGCTTACATCCCTGTGAGAAAAGCCATCGGGTTTTAATTACAGTAATACCCCCTCCCCAGTCTATCTTTCATGGATCTTTGGTTTTCTCTTTTTATGAATCATGCAGATTCCTGTTATTCACCACTAGTGAATGTTTTGTTTTTCTTTATCTTCCTCTCTCTCTCTGATCTTCAGGTTTGCTTTGTTTTGCAGTGCTGAGGATTGAACCTAGGTCCTTCCCACTGAGCTACATCCCCACATAAGTTTTTTATGCTAAGAAAGAGTTGATTTCTTGATGATAGCCATTCTTTCTGGGGTGAGGTGGAATCTCAGGGTTGTTGTAATTTACATCTCTTGAATGACCAATGTTGTTGAACTTTTTTTAATGTATTTATTTGCCATTTGTATTTCTTCATTTGAGAAGTGTGTATTCATCGTGTGTATTCATCTTAGATGCCCAGTTTTGGATTGGGTCTTTGAATTTGGAGTGGGGGCTAAGTTTTCTCAATTCTTTATATAGTCTAGATATAAGTCTTTTGTATAAGGGACAGTTAGCTAAAATGTTTTCCCACTCTGTGTGTTGTCTTTTCACTCTATTGGTGATTTCTTTTAAAGTGCAAGAGCTTCTTAATAGGATGAGATCTCAGTTGATTCTTTGAAGTATTTCCCATGCAGTTTGGGTTTTGTTCATGAAGACTGTGTCTACTCCTACGTTTTCAAAATTTTTTTTTTTTTTTGGTTTTTCTCCGGTACCGGGAACTGAACTCACGACCTTGCGCTTGCCAGGCAGGCGCTTTTGCCGCTGAGCTAAATCCCCAGCCCCCGTTTTCAAAATTTTGACCTACTTTCTCTTCCAGTAGATTTAGTACTTCTGCTTTAACATTTAAATCTTTGATCCATTTTGAATTTTGTTTAGTGCATGGTGATAGACATGGGTCTAGTGTTAGTCCTAAGCATGTAGAGAGCCAGCTTTTCTAGCACCATTTATTAAAGAGGCTGTCTTTCTTCCAGTGAATGTGTTTGGCCCCTTTGTCAAAGGTAAGGTGGCTAAATGTGCTTGCAGTTGTGTCTGCTTCTTCTAATCTGTTCTGCTGGTCTTCAGGTCTATTTTTTTTGGCCAGTACTATGCTGATTTTATCACAGTAGCCTTGCAGTATAATTTCACATCAGGGATTGTGAGGCCTCCTGATTTGTCTTTGTTGCCCATGATTACCTTTGCTATTCTAGGTATCTTCTGGATCTGGATGAATTTTAGGAGTATTTTCACTAGTTCTATGAGGTATGCTAATGGTATTTTGATTGGGATTGCTTTAAATATGTATAACAATTTTGAAAATATGGCCATTTTCACTATATTTATTCTTCCTATCCATGAGCAAGGGCTATCTTTCCATTTTCTGATATTCTCTTCAATCTCCTTTTTCAGAGTATTATAATTCTCACTGTATAGATTTTTACTTTCTTTGTTAGATTGATTCCTAAGTATTTCATTTTTTGGATATTGTTGTTACTGGTGTGGTTTCCCTAATTTTTTCTTCAATAAGTTTGTTTGTATACAGGAATGCTATTGTTTTTTGAGTACTGACTTTGTATCCAGCCAAGCAACTGAATTTGGTTATTTGCTCTAGGTGACTTTTGGTAGAGTTTCGGAGGTCTTCTATGTAGCATAACACGTCATCTGTGAATAATGATAATTTCACTTCTTCTTTCTCTATCCTTATTCCTTCTATCTCTCTCTTGTCTAATTACCTGGCTAATGTTTCCAGAACTATGTTGTAAAGGAGTGGTGATAGTGGACATCCTTGTCTTATTTCTGATTTTAGAGTGAAAGCTTTCAGCTTTTGTCCATTTAGTATGATGTTGGCTATTGGTTTGTCATCGATGGCTTTTTTCAGATTGAGATAAAAAAAAATCTATTCCAATTTTCTATAAGGTTTTTATCATTAATGAATACTGGACTTTATCAAAAGCTTTTTTCTTTATCTGTTGAGATGATCATGAGATATTTGTCTCCGGCTCTATTGATATTGTGTAGTACATTTATTGATTTGCATTCATGGGGTAAGTCCCACCTGTTCCTGTTGTATAAACTTCTTGATGATTTGTTGAATTCTGTCTGCTAGTATCTTGCTGAGGATTTTTGCGTCTATGTTCATTAGGGAGATTGGCCTGTAGTTCTCTTTTTTGGCTGTATCTTTCTATGGTTTTGCTTTCAGGATAATACTTGCCTCCAGAAAAGAGTTAGGGAGTGTTGCTTCCTTTTCAATTTCATTAAAGAGTTTGAAGAGTATTGGCACTAGATCTCTAAATTTCTTGTAGAATTCAGCAGTGAATCCATCAGGACCTGGGCTTTCCTTGTTGGTAAATTTAATTACATTTTCAATCTCATTAACTGATATTTATTCAGAATTTTAATATTTTCCTCATTCAGCTTCAGTAATCCATATGTATCTAGGAATCTGTCCATTTTTTCTGTGTTGTCCATCCTATGGGGGTAAAGATTTTTGAAGTAGGCATTGATGATCTTCTGAATTTGCACAGGATCTGTAGTGACTTCACCTTTATCATTTCTCAAAGCATGAATTTGAGTCTTTTCTTTCCCTTTTTGATAAGGCTGACTTGTTTTTTTGTTTTTTTTTCCTTGATTTTTTTTTCTTGGTTTTTCTCCGGTACCAGGAACCGAACTCACGAGCTTGTGCTTGCCAGGCAAGTGCTTTGCCGCTGAGCTAAATCCCCAGCCCCTGACTTGTGATTTATCAATTTCATTTATTTTCTCAAAGAACCAGTTCTTCAATTCATTAATTCTTTTGTGTGTTTTCTTGGTTTCCATTGCATTAATTTCTGCTCTGATCTTTATAATTTCCTCCCTTCTGTGGTCTTTGGATTTGTCTTGCTATTCTTTTTTTAGAAGTTTGAGGTGTAACATTGGACTGTTTGTTTGTGTTCATTCTGCTTTCCTGATGTGAGAATTCACTGCAATAACTTTCTCTGTTAGGGCTGCTTTCATTGCATCCCATAGTTTCCAGTATGTTGTGTCTGCATTCTCATTTAGTTGTAAATGTTTTTTAATTTCTTCCTTTATTTCATCTGTGACAATGGTTATTTAGAAGGGCATTATTTAATTTCCATGTGTTTATGGAGTTTTTGCAGCTTCTTTTGTGGTTAATTTCTAATTTCATTGCACTATGATCAGATATTATGCATGGGATAATTTAAGTTCCTTTGCATTTACTTAAGCATGTTCTATTCTATGGGCTAGTATATGGTCTATTTTAGAGAATGTTCTATGAACAGCTGAGAAGAATGTATACTCTGATGATGTTGAGTGAAGCACTTTAAAATCATCCACTAAATCCATTTGTTCACAGGTTTGGTTCAGTTCTGTTATATCTTTGCTGATATTTTTTGTCTAGTTGATTTATCTCTTTGTGCCAATTAGGTATTGAGGTCTCCCATTACAATTGCGTTATTGCTTATTTGATTTTTCATGTCTATTAATAATTGTCTTATATAGTTGCATGCTCTTGTATTTGGTGCGTATATATTTATGATTGTCATCTCTTCCTTTTGAAGTGTCCCCCTAACAAGTATATAGTGACCTTCTCTGTCTGGTTTGATCATTCCTGGGTTGAAGTTTACATTGTCTGCAAAAAAAATAGCTGCTCCTGTTTCTTCTGGGCTGCTGTTGCATGGAAGATTGTTTTCCAACCTTTAACTTTTAGTCTGTGGATTTCCTTTTCAGTGAAATGTGTTTCCTGTATACAACATATTGTTGGATCTTGTTTCTTGATCCACTCTGCCAGTCAGTTTCTTTTGATTGGTGAGTGTAGGCTATTTACATTGATGGTTATAACTGATATGTATTGGCTTATCTTCCAACTGTTGGTTCCCTGCATTTCCCCTCTGTTTACTTGCCCTGCTTGGTGGTTTCTTTCTGTTGTTGTTCTTGAAATTGTAGTCATTTTTATCTGTTTCTAGAATGTCTTTTACTCCTCTTTGTTGTATTTGTTTAGTGTTCACAAATCTCTTTAGTTGTTCTTTGTCATGGAAATATCTTATTTCTCCATTAATTTTGAAAGATAGTTTTAGAGGGTACATTAATCTGGGCTGGAAGTTGTTTTCTTTCTGGGCTTGAAATACTTCACTCCAAGCCCTTCTTGACCTGAGAGTCTGTGTTGAGAAGTCTACTGTGATTCTGATGGGCTTTCCTTTATAAGTGATCTGTCTCTTTTCTCCAACAGTTTTTAACATTTGTTCTTGTGCTAAATTTCTGGAATCTTTATTATTATGTGCCTTGGTGTAGTTTTATTTTGCTCAGGAATGTTTGGAGTTCTAAATGTTTCATTTATTTGTCTGTCAAATTCTTTATCCACACTTAGAAAATTTTCTGCCGTTATTTCTCTAAAGAGTTTTTTTATGTCATTTATGCTATCTCCAGCTTTCTTGTAGATCCCAATCAAGCTTCCATTTGTCTTCTTTGCCTCATCTTGCAACTGTTGGACTGATTTTTCCTGATTTCTTGCTAATTTTAACATATCTTTCTTTTCATTATTACTGTCTGTATTTCTGTCTTCAACATCTGAAATCCTGTCCTCTCCTTCATTCAACCTGTTGCATATACTTTCAAAGGAGGTTTTAATCTCTTGGATTTCTATTTGAATCTGTTTCATGGATTCTATTTCTTTACTATGCTGGGTGTTATTTGTTTCTTTCATTTTTCTAAGCTCATCTATTCTTTTATCTGTGTCTTCTCTAATATCTTTGATTTTAAGCATCATTTGTTTCTGTACCTGAGAGATTATTTTCTCTATAGCCTTTTCCACTTGTTTTTTCACTTCTGCTGCTATAGTTTCTGCTGCTATAATTTCCAGTGCTTGATTTCCAACTTCATCGATCTCCTAGAGTCTCAGCTTGTCCTGCGTGGGCCTGGCATCTGGGCTTACGTTGTGCTTCTGCATCTTGTTATTTTCTATTTTCTCTTTTTTATTTTGTTTTCTATGTTGATACTTGCAGTTTCTTATGATATATAGCTTTATGCCTAGTATTTAGGTTTCCTTAGAGGGTGTCTGCTCTTCAGGGATGTCTTCTAGATACAGGTGGTTTCTTATAGCTCTCCCAAGGCCCTAGCTTCCCAATTTGTAAAGCATGCAAGATTACTATTTGGCTCAGTTCCTAATCCTTTGGTACTCAACTGTGGTGGTGATTATGACCTCATACAGTCACAGTGTTATCATGCAGGGAAAAAACCTCAACATGCATGACATCCTGGCTAATGTAGTACAGTTACTAACAACAGTAGTTTCAAGGACACCTTGACTACTGATTCTGTTCCTCCTCCCTGAAATATGATATTTGGATTCTACTTTTTAAAATTAAGTTTACCTGTATTGGTACAATTTGGATATACATAATGATCATGTTCATCCTACTAAATTTGTCCATGTACAGGATATATCTTGATGCCTGTTTTTTTCCCAATCCCTTCCCCTCCCTTCAGACCTCTCTTCCCCTCATTTAAAAAGCTTTGTGTCTATTTTATCTTTCTTTTATTGTTTTTGTTCTTTCTCTTCCTTCCTTTCCTCCTCCCCCTCCCTAGTTCCTCTTTCCTTTCTAACAATTTCTTCCAATTTCACAAAATCTATTGTACATTTTGGTCCTTATTTACCTTTCAGTGTCTTAGTTAGTGGAGAAGTAAGAAAATTGGGCTTCAAAACAATATTTAAATATGTAAATGTGGTTGGTAACCAGTGAATTATCCTTGGAGAATAACCACAGATTGCCACAGAAACTGAGAGAAAAAAATACAACATGTGGAGCTAATTTTCTTACTTCTTCACAAATTAAAATATAGAGCTATACTTCATAAAGAAAAATAATAAACATTGGGGCAAACATTTTAAGATGTGAATATAGTAAACGTAAAGAACTGAGATGGAAACATAGAGGTTATATTTGAATAAATGAATTATTTTGCTTTGTTAAGTGTCCTCTGTGATGCCTGTAATGGTTGTTTCTAAATGTCCCCCCAAAGCCTCATGCAGTCATAGGGTTTTTACAGAGGTGGCTGAATCTAGAATGTGATTGATTCCTAGTGCAATGCTGGGATTAAGGGTGCTGGGATTAAGGGTGCTGGGATTAAGGGTGGGTGATTGCTGGAATACTCCACTGATTGGTTTGGCATTGGCCTAATCCCAGTAGCCTGGATACAATATAAGGGACAGAAAGAGGCTTGTCTCGCCCTCTTTTTCTTGTTACATTTGCTGTTTTCTGCCACCTTGAACTGTTGCCCCTCTGCCATGTGCCACCCTGCCTTAGAACCAGCTGATTATGAACTGAAACCTTTTCAAACTGTGAACTAAATAAATGTTTCCCCCTTTAACTTTGGATGTTGGGTATTTCATCTCAACAATGAGAAAAGTAACAAAGACAATGCCCAGTGCATGGCAGTGGACTTGGGGAGACCAAGGCACTAAGGGAAAATATAAGCAATGACAGCAAACAGATCTTGTCTTAACCCAGAGAGATAAGAGAAGGGTCCTTCAGAATTAAAGGTTACACCAGCAAAAATATTTTGGGAGCAAAGAATGCAGATCAGCTCACCTGTGTTTCACAGATGTAATCTGGATTAATACCAAATTAAGTAGTTTATTCCACTGCCAACAACCTTGATCAAACCCCAAGTTCAGTGTTAGCACTAGGTTAGGGATGAAATATTGAAGGGGACATTATGGTTTTTAAATCAGTTCTAAGCACAATTAGGAGAATTACACTGAGAAAATGATTTGTGATTACCTGCTTATCTCAGTCATGTTAGGTATGTGAAGGGAAAACCAGAGTATTTATAAGAGGTCAGATGTAAGGTGAGGGACAGTTATCCCAGTTTATTCCTGAGAGTCCACCTTGTGGTGACCAGTCGGTTAACACTCTCATTACAAAATTTCTCTGGGATACAAGCCTACTAAGCATGCACTCGGCACTCATGAGGTGCTGAACTAATGCTAAATAAGAACAGCACCAGACAAAAATAAATATCAGAACTATGCATTCCCCTCATGAACTAACGACCTATCTTTCCCAAAAAGTTAAATGATGTAGACATCCTTGTGTAAGTCTGAAGGGCATTTTGTGAGGTTTAAGCAAAAAGCCTTGACAGTTTGCAACTTTAGCATATAACTTTAGAAACAGCAAAGCTGTTCCTGGAAGATCAATAAAAACCAGTTGTCCCAGAAATAGCATTTCTAAGATATCTGGATTTGCTGCACAGATCCTTAACTCACACTTACCCCTTTAAAAACCCCAGACTCTCACCTTGACTGTGTAATTCCTCTCCAAAAAAATATGCCTGCTGTTCCTCTTACCATGTACTCCAAATTAAATAAACTCTTTTATGTTCTATATTCCTTGCCTGTTGGTAAATTCTCTTACTACCTACACTACTGGCCCTCCATACACCTGCTCTCAGCACAAATCTCTTCTCACTTTGCCCTCAAAATCACAGGCACTTGAGCCCCCAGAAGGGACATTACTAATTTAAGGGGTGAAGCAGAACATGGTGGTGCACACCTGTAGGCAGCACTTGGGAAGTTGAGGCAGGAGGACTGCCACAAGTAGCCTGGGCTGCAGAGTTACAGAGTGAGTCCAAGGCCACCCTGGACTATGTAGTGAGACCCTGTCTCAAAAAAAAAAAAAAAAAAAAAACAGAGTAGAAAATTTTATTCTCAGATGCAAAACCTACCATGCTATTCCTGGAGAAGCTCATCCCTGCACACGCTGTGCACATGTATCTTTGTCTCATGTTGATGCAGGAAGCCTTATTCTTTTGTAAAAGGGAATCTCCCTCCTGGCAAGTGGGTGGGTGTCTCCTAAATTTAAGAAATATGTGTCAACACAAAAGCAAAACTCGGAGTAGGTCTTTCTGGCCTCTAGCACATTCATACTCATTTTCCTTCCTGATTTGCACACCATTATGTTCTTCTGACTCCTGAGACTCCAATGATTCAATGATATTCTTAAAGCTACAAAAATCTAAAATCAGCAAAGATAAGATTTAAATTCATGTTTCCTGACAGCAAGACTACATTTCTGTCAGCTCTGGCGTTCTACCACAACATCAAATTCTGGTGGCATCAGCTCTTCACCGTCTCCTTTGGGCATCAAATGTATGATCCTTGCCAAAGGACCAGGGCAATGTTTGAGGTGAGAGGTGAGGGAGACAACAGTGTCACCTGGACTCTGGAGACCAGTACATGCTCTTTCTCGAAGAAGTCTGGAAATTGGAAGCTGGCTGGTGCTGTCCTGGTTGTGGGGTGTGCAAGACAAAAGAAGCAGAAGCACTAAAATTCATCTCAACTGTTTATGCACTTGTGAATTTTTATAAGAGGCAAGTGGATCTGCTACAGGAAAACAGGCTTCAGTCACCAAGAAAGAATGGCAGCCACGTGGACTTCTGGGGGTTGATTTTGATCCCAGTAGACAGAAGGTGGAGCTGTACCATTCAATGCAGAAGACCAGGGGAGAGAGCAGCCAATCATCAGTCATCCACACATCCCAGCATGCATGCTCAGGAACATCCCCGGGCAAGGAGATCTCAAAGAAATCCACAAAAGTGCTACCCAAGCCATTTGTATATCTGCAATGCCCAGAAATCATTAACCCTAAGAGAAACTGCCCCTGTCAAGAAAAACTGAGGACCTTCACCACTCCAGCTTACTCTCTTTCAAGTAGGATCAGATGAAGATGAAAGCAGAAAAACAGAGCAGTAAGGGGAAGAAAACATACACACACTGGCCACAGCAGCCTGGAAATGGAAGACAAGCAAGTCTGGGCTGACCCTGAGTCAGGTTTGAGGAGGACAGGAAGAGATGACGAGAAGCTTTAAACTGGGTAAAAACCAACGTGTTGACTTTACACTCATCTGGCCCACTTAATATCCCTGAGGTCAGGGCCGGAGAAAGTAAGGGATGCATGACTCTGTGACTCCAAAAATCAGTAGCAGGGAAAAAACAAACTTCCACCCACCAATCCAAGCATCTCAATAAACAGATAAAACATGTTTTTCATTACTTAAATATTAAAAATTTAAATTGGAGCAGCATGAGATGGCTCAATTTTCATACAATTATTTATTACAGAGCCTAGAAAGGAAGGCGCACAATGAATCAGAGCTGTTGGTATTGCTTCCACCCTGTGCGCATCGTTATCCTGCTACACAGAGAGAAGACACAACCAGTTACATCACCAGTAATTGCTAGTCACAAGCCAATGCAAATCAGCTTGCTTAGCTCCAAGCCTTGACTTTGTCCTCTCCCTGGAAAGAGCTTGAGATGATTCCGCAAGCTGAGATGAGGAACCTAACCTACCTTTCTTGCAGAATAGATTTGTAAGTCTGCTAACTCTTGTCATGGGAAGGGCATTTTCAGGACTAGTCCATGAGAGACACGGGAAGGGTTTCTTAGGCAAAAATTGAAAAGTACATACTCAAAGAAATAGAGTGCAGACCCTCAGTAGAAAGAGGTGCTGAATTCCTGGAACTGGGACCGTGACTCTGTTGCGAAAGTGGGAACCCCAGGAAAAAGTGCACACACCCCAACCCAGGGATACAGGTCCATATTACAGGGATGGGCCCAGGTTTTCTAAGATGGATAATCTAAGTATTCTTTCAATTCTCTCAACCTGTTCTGTTGTCTGAGAATCTGTTTTCTGCTCTTTACTTTCTAAGTTAAACCAATGTAAGGACTTTGGACATTCCTGAGGAGTTTTGGGTGTGACTCAGGATCTGGAAAGGAAGGAGGCTAGACTTAAGCAAGGTAATGCTGCTGTGGGACACCTTAGGTGACTTCAGCCAGGTCCCAGAAGTTGCAGTCTTCTTCAAAGTACAACTTTTAGTTCTGAGTTACCTGTCTCCTTTCTACCTACTTTTTATTTCTTCTATCTCAGTCCTGTTGAAGGTCTACTTGGGGAAAATTGATCGTGGTCCTGGGATGATAGGAGAGGTAGCTCTTTTTTTTACATCCTGTCACTTGCTATACGCTATCTGGAAAGACAATTATCTGAATCTGCAAGGTAGTCTCAGAAAATATAGGTCAGTGTTTTTTACCCCTAGCTGTTATGCAAGAGGAAGGAAAATGAAGAAAGACTCAGAATAAGGAAACACATTCCCAATCTATAGACTTCTTTTGTAAGCTACTACTGAAGGAGTTGCCCAAAATGCTCAGAGAGAAAAATCTCATATTGGAGTTTTCAAGCCAGATTCCATGGAGGAGGACGCACAAAGTTTATGCTCCCACAGTCTGCATGAGGCCTCACAAGGTCATTGCTGAATGTCCCCCATGGCCATGCATAACATCAAAGTGCTTTGCCAAATGAGGGCACCATTTTGTAAGACTTAGAGATGAATCAGTATTATGATTTTTTTATTATTACAAAGCCAGTGATAAAGAATGATAAAGTTTCTCAGAGTCAGCCAGTGCATCAGATAAAATGTGGCTGGCAGTGCCTGAGTAATTTCACCACTATGTAAGGATCTGGAAATGAGAAAAATGTCGTGTCCAGAGGAATTCATCAGACCTTCCTTATGATCACAACAGAGCTGCTGACAGAGGAGCTCGACATGTGAAATTGTTAATGAAATTATGGCAAAGATTCTATGAGTAATGAAGTGCAAATTTAATATTAATAATAAGATAATGATTACAATACAGTTTTTTCCTTCTAATTTTGGCTATGTGTTACTTATACAATATGACATCAATTATGTATAAAGACATGAACCAAGCTACAAAAAATTCCCAGATTTTTAAAATATTTAAATTTTAAAATATGAATATAGATTGACATGGATAAGACACTTCTTTTTCTTCTTTACTAAATTATTAAAATTATCTCTTAATAACTGAGCTTATTTTGTTTTATTTTATTTTATTTACTTTTGAGACAGGGTCTCACTATGTAGTTCAGGCTAGCCTTAAACTCGAGGCAGTCCTCCTGCCTCAGCCTCCCAAGTACTGGGATTACAAACATGTGCCACCACTCCCAGCAACTGAGCCTCTTTAAAACATAAGAAAAAATAGATGTTTTAATAGTAATTTAAATAAAACTTGAGACTTTTTAGAATGTGCGGACGTGAATGTGCATATTTACATAATTCTTAACGCTCCCTCTTACTTTTACTCAGAGCTGAAGGAGCTACCTTTGCAGGCTCTGGACCCAGCATTCTGGAGCCTCACATGTGGGCCCAACTCTGCCCTTGTGCCACACTCTTAATGCTTAGCTCTCTCTGTTACTGGTTGAAGCTTGGTCAACCTGGGCCTCAGCCATCTGGGTTACTGGGCTCTGGGTTTGTGTGTGTAACTTTATTCAAGTATAAGAAAAGCCCCTGAAAATGGAAAAATGAGTTTATAATTTGGCCCAATTGGGAGCGCAGTTAGTTCAGCAGTGCAGAGACACACTCTAGTTTATGTGAGGACCAGGAGAGAAGTGAGGAAATGCTTCTTTGCAGATTTAGCTGTGCACTGGCACACACACTGGTCAGTGTTGATTCCTCCTTGTCATTGAGCCTGGGACGGAGTTTACGCTCAGCATGGGCAGGCTTGAAGAAGTAATTTATCTTTTAACAAACTCACAGTTCTAAAGATCTATTTTCACTTCTCGGTTACAACTGGATCTCAGATGTATCATACTTGATGTAAATGTGCTATATTTTGGGGATACATAAGCAAACTTTAAAATATTCTGTACATCACTTGAAGTCAAATATTAGCATCAAATAATCAAATAATAAACTTTTGTTCAAATTTTTCTTTAAAAACTGAAAATAACTCATAGCCACTTATTGCTTCATAGTCATGATATACTACATAAATATGTGTTTCATCCTCTACTAGTCACTTTGGGAGAAAAGACATATGCTACTACTCCAGAGCTAACAGTTTACACAGAACTCTTTTCTCCCTAAAGTAAAACATATATCTTACTAATATCTATAACTTTTATACATGAGAAGGCTAAAAATTTTGAGAATTTCACACACACATACACACAATAGTAGATCTTTGTTTCCTTGGTCTAAACTGAAGGTTTACACAACTTAATAACTTGCATTGCCTCTTCCCCTTCAGGCATGAGTGTGAATTACCTTCTTAGTAGTATAGCCAAAGACATTTTTTGTTTTCTCTATATAAAAAAATCCATACTTTTCTTACTTTACATTAAACCCAAATTCTCACATTAAATAAAAAGAATTTTTACTCAAAAAAGCACCATTTCTATTCCCTAACCATACACCAATATTTATTTCATGAACATCTTAACATTTTACTAAGGGAAAAAGACCACACTTTGGAATTAAACAATGATCCGGGTACCATAGGCCAGTGCCCCATGATGCATCAAAGATACTGAAGTACACAGGCTCGAAGCCTCCTTGCTTAAGGTATTTTGAGATTCCTACTGAGTTTTAAAGGATGCGTTGGGTTTATTTGTATAAAAGCCCAGAGGGTTAGAAATCTCGCAAAAAATATATAACAAAATGCACGATGACAGTGGACAGTCATCACTCCCTTCTTTGAAAACTATTAAATGGAGGCTGTAAAATGGAGATGCAAATTCCATGTAAAATAAATCTAGGATGTGATTATAATCTCTTCTTATTGCATCTTCTAGATATTAGAAAATGGGTTAAATAAAACTTGGATCAACATTTATTCAATAAAATATGCTGAATAAGCATCCACCACGATGAACAGGGAAAGCACGGTTTACTTTGAAGTAGTAAATTCACAAGACAGCCCAGGAAGGGTGACTTACGTCACCGTATTAACACATGTCCTAGGAAAGACACCAGCTGAGTCAGATGGGAATGTACTCCAAGGACTGCCATCAGAAGGTGGGACACTTAGGGAGGAATTTGAGCAACAGATACAAATGGGTTATGTACCTTACTTCAGGCTTGAGTATGATTAAAATTCTCAAAATTTTAGGGAAAAGGGGTGAAGCAAACACAGGAGCATGCTTAGGGAACTGAAAGTTGATTAAGATTGAAATTGGTGTGGATAAGCAAGAGTCACGGGACCGGTTCTGCAGGAGTTGAATTTGCTAAACGAGAATGGAAGCTACTCACTGTTCTCAGCAGGAGTCTCTGCTATTAGCAAGTCAGTCATTCGGCACTGGCAGTAGCCACACCATCAGAGGTGAAGGGAAGACCCAGGCCCATGGGCAGCTTCCGTCTCCTGTTCTAGACTGCACAGATAGGTCCACGGAGCAGAGTCCAAGGTGAATGGAGCAAGAGTAGCCACCACCCACAGAAAGGGGCGCCTGGTCCTTGCGAGGATCAGGAATTGCTGCACAGTGGACGCCTCAGTGAGCAGTCACAGGAAGCACAGAGACCTCCCCATGGGCCTGCTGAGAACCCGTCCTCGGGCTACTCATCATCTAACATCCTTCTGCACACTTTGATCTTGCTTTCACTGAACAGCATGCAACTATTTTTCAAAAGGATTCTCAGACCAAGAAAATGAAGAGTAAAAATGATCCATTCTTACAGAACCTTTTGATGATTTATATAGAAAATGCAAACACTAACAAGAAAATTTAGAAGCGGTGACAAATGCAAGATCAAAATGCAAAAGTAAACACCGACCATCTCCACCAACAGTAATATATTTCATGGAAAGAGACATCATTCACCACAGCTGTTTAAGGCATTTAGAAATAAACCCATAAGGCACAGAGAAATAAACCGCAAAATATGAAGAAGAATCATCTTGTGAAAAGTATAGGGCATCAGTGAAGGAGATTTTAGGAATTATATAAAGGAGCATGTATGCTTTGCTCATAAATTGAAAATCCTACTATTCTGAAGATGTAAGTATTCCTCCCACCCCAAAATCCATACCTTCAGGGTTATTTAAATGTGAACATGATTTTTGTGGGACTGAATAAATTATTTCCAAAATTACTCAAGTGAGTAATTATCCGATCTTTTCCAAAGTAATTCTAAAAGACACAAAGAAATAAGGTAGCTTGCCCTATGAGACTTAAGACTTTAAAAAGCTATGGTAATGAAAACTTTAAAGCAGAGGCTCAGACACAGGCAGAAAATGTTGAGTAGAGACATCAGAATCAGACAAGCAAATCTAGGGTAGCTGGTGTGCATGGTGCACACTTCAGTGTGTAATCACACTTTACTCAGAAAGGTAGCCAGTTGATTTTTTATGTGAAATAAAATCTAGAGCACTACTCTACATCCCAGAAAAACAATCTTCCTAAGGCATTAAATATCTAATGCATAAAATCAGACTTGTAATGTGCTCAGACAGAAATGCAGAATATCTTTTGGAATACTAAGAGTGTAAAAAATTTTTTAGATAAGGAAATTTAAAGCAAGAAAAATTTCATATATTTGATTATACAGAATCAGGATTTAGCTCTCTGGAATATAAAGGTATAGATACAACATTAAAAGGAAGCCACATTGCCACAAGATATTTCTACGGTATATAAAACAAGGAATTTTGATCTTCAGGAAGTGAAAAGAATGCCAACCAGTCAATATTTAAAATTTAACAAATTCAACGAGGAAAACAGAAAAGAATTAATTGAGTGAAACAGACAATTCCCAGAAGAGAAAATAACTAATAAACATAAAAATGGATACAACCTCATAGGAAGTTAGGAATGTGTGAATCAATGAGACAATGAAAAGATGCTGCCTATGCATCTGATAATTGACAAAATTCAGGATGTCTGACATTACCAATTTATAAAACTAATTTAGAAAGCAATTAGAAACCTAATGAAACTGAAATGAATACAACTTTCTATACTGAGATTCTACTCTTTGGTTTACACTATAGAAAAATTCAAAAGCATGTGTCAGATAAACTTGAAACAATATAAATGTCAAAATAATGTAGTGTATTCACATAAAGGAATACTACATGAACTAATTTAAACCAACTAGATTTTTACTATTATAATGTGAAATCAATTCATTGCATAGTGACATGGCATGGATGATAGCATTAAGGCATTTTTTAAAAAATGTGTATCTATAAAATGGAGCAGAAAGAAATACAACAAATTCAAGATCAAAGTTTAGGGAGGTGAACTTAGAAATGAAATTAAGGAATAAAGGAAACTGTATGACAAGTTGAATTACAGAGTATTCTTATTAATTGTGAATATGGGCATATGGGTATCTAGGACTAACTTTTGATATTTTTTTAGCTTTCAAAATTCAAAACAAAACACACAGCCATCAGTGACCACTAAAGAACAAAGAATAATGGCTGAAATTTTTATTATTAATAAAAACACAGGAAATATAGCAGTTTCTGGGTGATATTATATGAGATACATAATAAAGTAAAAGAAAATTTAAATGGGCAATACTGCAGAATGTTCCCAAGACACTCAGGAAAGATTCACTAGAGAAACTAGAATTAAGAATGCAGGAGAGAGTGACTAGTTACAGACAGAGGCTATTGAAATACACAGGGAAAGAAATCCAACATAACAATGACTTCATTGACAGCAGGAGAAGTGTACTGTGCAGTGAAAACAGAAGCAAGGGGAGACGTGCGTGTTTATACAGGTGTGGTGGTATGAAGGATGTGAGAGTGGCCCCAGTCTAGGTAGCTATTTCTTCATACAGATTTGGAGAAGTTAGCAAAGGTAGAGTGTTCTGTCACCATTTGGAGACCAGAAGCTGCTTGAATCTGCAGTTGTTGCCACTGAAACCCAATCTTGTTGGAGAAATGAGTCCATAGGGTACAGAGTTGAAGTAAAACATACTAAGGTGTCTGTGACAAAGAGCCGCACAAGGAGGTCCTGCTGACTATATGCTGCATCCTTTCCCCAAGGCAAGGTGAGGTTAATACCTACATGTAGGTGCTTCTTGTATACAGTTCCTCTTCCAAATCTGTAGGTCTGGCAAAACAAACAGGACAATGGGGTTTCTATTCCAACACTGGAATCATGAAATGGTGGACGCCAAACTTTATCTTCCCTTTTGGAGAAACTTCTCTCAGGAGCATTGTAGCATCCACACATAATCACCTTGGAAGTTAGGAAGGGAGGTACATCTTAGTTTTAGAATTTATGATGCTAGCTACATATACCTGAGAGATGAACATCAGCTGTCACGTAGTATATATTAAGAGGGCTTCTATGTCAAAAATGATAAAGGCATTCACTTCCAATGGTTTCAATTTTATGTTTGAAATATGAAGCTAGTCATCCCTGAGAATGATGAAGGGATGGTGTGAGGAGAGAATTAGCTTTGCTATAGCCATCTTGGACCATGATAAAAAGAGCTATTAGGGACACATGGAAGGATCCTAGGAAATTCTCCTTTCCACTTAGTGATTGCGTAGGGAAACACAAGAGGTTGTCTTGTGAGATTTTCTCTCAGCCAGATCTAACTGCCCAGGTGCAGACAGTAAGGATATAAATCATAATTTCCTTCTGGGATTGGTAAAAAAAGAGGGAAATGAGATCAGAGGAATTCATAGTAGTTTCAAGAAAGTAATAATAATAATAATGAATCAAGCAATCCATGACCAAAGAGATAAAAATATGAGGTGCACTGAAAATAAAAAAAAATAAGAAACTTACTTTGAAATCCTTGAACCTTTTAAAAAGTGGGCTAGAGAGAAGTGCCAATTCTTAAAAGCAAGAAAAATACAAGGTTTAGACAGAAAGATAGCAGGTGTTGTGACTTCAGAGATAATATCTAATTCCAGAGGTTTACCTATAATAAGATTTCCAAAGAACAATACTGAATTTGAAGAGATAAAACAGTAACAGACATTTGGATCAGTTTTTCATGTAGATGAGGTGCATATAATGGAAGCAGTGTAGAAAGATGTGATTGAAAAAGATGAAAAGAAAAAAGTAGAGAAGGAGGAAGAGAAGGGAGAAGAGAAGGAAGATGAAGTAGGAAGAGGAAGAGACACAAGTTAATTACAGACTAGGTGAGAAGAGGGCCTTGCTAGATCATAAGAGCTTCAGAAAAGCATACCTGTCACCCATCAGAAGAAAGAATACAGGTGACAGAAAGAGGCATGAACTCCTGGTCCTCAGAAGAGAGAAAAGAGAAAAAGACAAAAATAAAAAAGCAAACAAAGTTTACACTAGCTGGATAGGCAAAGGCTGGTAGAATTCTTCCAAGGCTGCCTTGTTTAAGAAGGACATGGAGTGAAGGAACAGTCATTAAAGAGGTGTGGAGTGTAACTGATGGCCCAGAATCATCTTAGGTCTCAGTGGAAGAGGGAAAGGCTGTGTCTTATGATAGGACTTGTACAGGGCAGTGGTGGGGGTGGAGGGGGCTGCAATGTGAAACACAGGTAAGGGAAGAAAACTAGGAAGTGTGCTGTGACTGATATACGCCTCCTTGATTTTGATAAATGTGTAATAAAGAGATAAGAACTTCAACAACAACCTTTGAAAAATAACAGCGTGGGCCCCAGAGAAGTAGTGGCCTCATCCAGGCCTATCTTACTGCCCCTGAAGAGCAGGCTGAAAAGAGTGGCTTTAGCACCTTTGCCTCCTGCACTGCTTCCCCACAAGAAGCAGTGTTTCAAAGCTGTAGCAGGGATGGAAGAGAAACCAACACCTAGGAATCTGTAGATCAATAACCTCACATGAGGCTGAGGACCACTCAATAAAGTCAATTTAACAGAAATAAACAAATGCCAATGTCATAAGAATTACAAATTTAGAACATGGTCCTAGGGCTGTGTGATGGTTTATCTAATCCGTTTGACTGGATTTAAAGAGCTGTCATAGTCTGTAAAGTTCATTTCTGTGTGTGTCCTAGTGGGTCATGTAGGGCAACTTCGAGGACAATACCTCGACCCTTGTCCCTTCCTCTGGGGCACTGTTCCCCTGCACTGCCTCCTGTCATCCAGGAAGTGAACTGTGTGGTTGCAGCACATCCCTGCACTATGATGTTATGTGTTGGAGCCTGCATACCATGGACTGAAACCTCTGAAGCCATGAGCCAAGAATCAACCTCTTTCCCTTTAGCTTGTATCAAGTATGTTGTCTGAACACCAGAAAGCTGACTGATTCAGGCTGATTATAAATGGATTCACTAATCTCAAGGATCACATGTTCAGCACACAGCAGAGGAACATCTAAAATCCTAACAGTTATCAACATGCTTTCCCCAAGAACACACATTTCTCTAACGCTAGAGGGAAATTTCTCTGAGTGTTGCTCCCTACAGCCCCGCTTACTCTTCCTGCACCACCAGCACCAAAGAGAGTAGGATTCAAACCCACTGCAGTCATTGGCGTCCATGCCAAGTCTGGGTTCTAAGAGAATTCCTCAGATCCTGCATCTGTTCTGGAGGAGAGTTACGTAGTGGCCTCCCCACCAGTGTTTGGACAAGTAGTTCCAAGGAGAACTGTCTCTATTACTTAAAAAACAGTAGTCATGGAGAAAAGTAGTCTAGAGCAAGCAAACAGGAAAAGGACTTGAGACAAATACAGCAAATACCCTCAAAGCAGAAAGGCCATTACATTAGGAAGTACAGGGAAGTCTTCCAGATTTTGGAATTTTAATCAACAGGGAGTAGAAGTGTTTAATGAAACTTGTCTGGTTTTCCAGTAATTAAAGGAAGCATAAACTCTGAAACAAGAATGTAAGTGTTTTAAGTGATTAAAAAGATAACGAAACAATATACTACTTGGATGAGCCCAATGCAGTGCTAAGCTTCCTTGGATAGGGCAAGAGTTTCAAAGTCTAGTACCAGGACTTGGGAATAGGGAGCCAGTGTGCAGAACTCTGAGGATGGAGGAGAGGAGCCCAGTATATGGCTTATCTTATAGGAGAAACTCAAAGATAAATAATAGGACACAGAGACAGCTCTTTTGTAAAAGAGAAGGTGAAGAAGGAGTGGACAGAGGAGGAAGGAAAGGGGATAAAGAAAGAATTATGGTGTGTCATATATGTCAGCTCCTCCCTATGACGGTGGCTGTTGCGTGCTGCACACATGAGTCATAAAAGTATATTTGAAAGCTAATGCAACTGGCCTGAGAGCTGGGAATGATGGAAGCAACTCTTCCCAGGAAGCTCCTGGAGAAATGCAATCTTACCAGTACTGGGTTCAGTCCTAAGAGATACGGTTCAGACTTACAAATTCCTTAGCCATTCAACAACAATTTTTTTGTGATTTTAAACCACTGACTGTTTGGCAATCTGTCCCAGTGGCAGCAAAAAATTAATACTAGTAGCTTTTAGTGTTTAGAGTCTATAGACTGATACTTCAGGAAATCTTGTTTGGAAAAGTGATCTAAATGTGGAACAATGAACAAAAATATGAAGTTCTTTAATCCAAAGATTCCAAGATGGTATAAAAAGATCAATTTCAGAGTGGAGGCTGCGGCTCTGTGGCAGAGTGCATGTCTAGCATGCACGAGACCTTAGCTTCACTCGTTGGTAACACACACACATTCATACACACATTAAAATAATTGATATAATTATGCTTTAAAATAAAATTCACTTTAAATTCTTCCTGAAGGGCTGGGGATATAGCTCAGCAGTACAAGTGCCTGCCTGGCAAGTGCAAGGTCCTGAGTTTGATCTCTGGTACCAAAAGAAAAAGAAAAAAAAAGATAAATTCTTCTTGGAAGCGTATTTCCTTCTTTATTCTAAGGTTTTTAGATATCTGGGATTATATTATGTGAAGTATGTAACTTACTGAGCTTCATTTCTTTATCAATCCTTAAATTTTTAAAAAAATCTCAATTTTTTTTCACAAATATACCATTTAGCATAACAGACATTGAGCTAATATATATGAATATATGATACATATATTGATTTACATCACATAGCAAGCCCACGACTGCACCTTGTTAAGCAGTATGCCACACACGGAGACACTGTTGTTCAAAGAGATTGTGCTATCATCCAGGCTCATGTACAGATATTAATTAAAGGAGCTAAAATTCAAAACCATCCTGACTTGTTGGAGTTTATTCTCATATCCTCTCTCACTTGCTGTCTTCCTGATAACCGACTGGTAACTATATTAGGACTTAAATAGATAGGGTCACTGAGGTGAGGTAAGACATGGGATGCATCCTCTAAATTGACCGAAGGAGCCCAAAGAATTGCCTCTTCCTGTTGTAGATACGCTGAGCCATATGCCATGTTTCATTTTCTCAAACATCAGTTTTCCTCAATGTCTCTGATGTTGGGAACACTGGACAACTGGTGATGCGATTTATACTCCATTGAACACTATGTACTAAAGCACACTGTTTATAGTTCATTACTCTTTAAAAAAGAAGCAAGAAAGAAAATAAAACACGCAGTTACATTTCCTTCTTCTTACTAAAGATGCGGTATATGTGGGGGAAATGTAAGTCCAGTGACAGGCCAGTTTTCTGAGACTTAAAATCTTTTTTTTGAGGGGGGAAGGATACAAAATTAAGTACAAACATGGATATTTTTGAAAGGAAATTGCATGGCATGGATTTAGAAAGTTAATATAAAAATATCAAAAAATAAAATAGAAATAATATTTTGTTATGTAGCAGTCTGACACACTTCTGCATATGTTTCTTTTCGAGACAGGGTTTCTCTATGTAATTCAGGCTGGTCTTGAACTCACTATGTAGCCCAGGCTTGTGCTGAACTTGTGGAAATCCTCCTGCATCAGCCTCCCAAGTGCTAGAATTACAATTGTGTGCCATGATGCCTGTCTCCTCCTATATATTCTAGCAGCACACTCACTGGTTGCATCTTCACATTTTGATATGTACCATTATTTTTGATAGAAAGAACAGAAAGATAATTTAATCTTTCCTCTAGAATTGTTGATTGAATGACTTTTTAAAAATTACTAATAATTTAGAACCTTTATTTTTAGCTATATAACTAATTATGGGTAATGCCATGTAAATTCTGAGGATTATTATCAAATATTTCTCTGTCAAG